GCCGATTTCCTCTGCTCCTGCACAAAACTTTTCGCACACCCCCTCAAATATAAGCCGCTTCAAGACCACGTAGATCTTCTTGTGCGCTCTCAAATAAACGCTGCTGAAGTGCGATTTAGTGCGTTTATGTAACAAGTATGTCTCCAGCACTTATTAGATTTATAAATGTCTCTAATAGACCTACAGAGTGATATTAATGCATCCTAAAGCAATGTGTAATAACTATACGTCGAGTTTGCTGGCCTCACGCATCACGCACCTGTCAGTCAGTCACTCAGTCAGAATGTAACCTTAAAGGGTAAAACAAATGACACACAGCACTACTTACAGTAGGTAACAGAAAAGTTTGCGCTGTTATACCTTTTAATACCTTTTGGTGTGATTATCACCCGCTATTTAAAAAATAAATGTTTTGAAAATGCTGAAAAATTGAAAAATTTGAAAATTCCATGATGGGAAGAATGAATGTAGCTGGAAACAATGTGTATATACATATTGCTATGAAGAAAAGGAAATCATTTATTTTTGTCATGCTGACTTTTGGTGAAATTGTGAATAAAAGTCTGTATAATCACCTTGCAATTTTAAACATTAAGTTTTTTATGGTTTGAAGACTTTCAGACTTTTTTGAAGTTTTTTAAAATAAAATCAGTTGTTCACTGTATCAGCCTCCAAATCTAAAGACTTATCGTTAATTGATATCGGCTAAAAAAAAAAAAAAATCCATATCGGTGCATCCCTAATTATTAGTACCTAAAATTACTGAATTTGTAAAAAGAAAGGAAAAAAAATCTTCTTGTCTCTCTTGCAAAAATGTAAAGAATGAAATATCGATGGCCATATTGATATTGGCCGATATGTGCTATTTTTAATGTTATCTTTATTGGTCCAATATCAAAATTAGGCCGATATATTTAAGCCGATAGGTTACGTAATTGTACTGCCTGCCTCATGCATACGTGGCTCAGACCTGTTTAGTTTTGTCTGGTGCACTATAACACAGGTGTCAAACTCCGTTCCAAAAGGGCCGGAGCTCTGCACAGTTTAGTTCCAACCCTAATTAAACACACCTGATCAAACTAATTGAGTCCTTCAGGCTTGTTTGAAACCTACAGGTAAGTGTGTTGGAGCAGGGTTGGAACTAAACTGTGCAGGGCTTCGGCCCTCCAGGAATTGAGTTTGACACCCCTGCACTATAAGCTCAAATTGTTTATTCCTTTAAAGTCTATTCCCAGAAAGTTTGTGTGTTATTGCTGTGCTGCATTAAAAAAACTTTAATTTTCGATTTCATTTTATTTCAAATATAATTATTTAACTTGTTTGTAAATTAAATCTTGTTTTGTTATTTAACCGATTATTTTTATGCAACAGTCAAGTTACATGTTAATTTGTGATGAAGAAAATGAAATAATTTCTTTTTGGCAAGCTGATTTATGTAAAAGCGTGAATATCTTTTATGAAGTTTTTAAAATAAAATCAGTTGTTCACCGTATAAAATATAACATTTTGAAATATTTATATTTATTGATCTACATATCGGTTGTTGGCCTCCAAATCTAAAGTTATTGGTAGGCTCAAACAGAATCTGCACGAGCAGAAATGCGCAGATTTTTAGCCCATCAATTAGTCTTTATTTACCTGTGTAAATGTTTGTAAATTTATATTTGTTCAGTTTTTAAATACATCTCAGGAATATTATTGACAAATATGAACATGTTCATTTGATTTATTTACAATACAGTTTGTAAAGTAAATATTTTCTGTCTTTTAGTAAATATATTATATTAAATACTTGCTTTGTTTAACAATTGAGTGGATCTAATTGGATTTGTATTGTAAACACTAAATAACAGTTAAAATAATTTATTTGTTATGTTATAGATACTATTTTTAGTTATGATACTTCCAAAAACATTCCGCATAAATCCAAGACAAAATGTCCGCAGATTCTGTCTGGCCCTTGTTATCGGTTATCAATATCGGCCTAAAAATCCATATCGGTGCATTCCTAGAAATGTTATAGGTTTGTTTTATGCTTGCCTTCAAGGATTTGGTGCTATAATGAAAATTTCTGAGGAAAAACAACATGGATATTCATAAAAGCCATTTAAAAGTTTTAATACTGAATAATGACAATAATGTAGTGTCCAAGATAACAACAATATAATGCATGTTCATAGCTTGCATAAATATGTTCATTAATCTTTTTCATCACGACATATGGGTACTGTATGACTAAATATCCACACAGTAAAGTTTGTCTGGAGTCTGTAAACAGCTCAAGCTGCAATAATAACTACAATTTACAGCCAGCTCCATACAATAACAACAGCACAATGTAGGTCGACTTGCAAGACGCGTACAGTAAATACAGTATCACCGCAATATAAAAGTGCTGAAGGCTGTATTTACAGTAAACAGTCAATACATTGAACATCTCCGTATGTATCCCTCTTATTCACCACATCAAAGCGCAGAGGTTTGGAAACGAATCACTTACTTTTCGGGGTCTGGGCTTCGGTTTCTTCCGATTCTCCTCGGGTGCTTCCCTGGATCTTCAAGCGGTGCAGAGCAGTAATAATCCGCGCGTGGAAGGAAAAAAAAGACCCTTCCTCAGTGAGTCTGTCGGCAGCATCAGCACAGCTCGGTCTCCAGCATCTCTACCTCTCTCTCCTTCCCCTCATATGGGTCATACATGAAATATTCAGCGCAGCCCTTCATCATATTCGTCATTCTGACATTAATTTCGGGAGCGCTCGAGGGGGCTCCAGTGCGTCTGATGATGATGATAACCTACATTCAGACCATCTCATTGTAGCGTCTAAGCAAACGACGCTTCCTGTGCTGGAATTAAAAGTTGCAGGAGTCTTTTCTCTCGGGGTTCATGTTGATGTTTATTAACCTAGAAAAAAAGTTGAGGAAAATTCACAATTTAAGCGCTGGGTGCTTTTCAAAAGTGCGAGTTTGGAGTGAATAATTGGCCACGCCCCACAGGAAGCTGAGATGGAATGACAGGAAGAGGCACTTAATAATTAGCGTCAAATTCAACAAATGCGTTACGTTTATAAATATTTAATTTCAGATTTTTTTTAGTCTGCTTATAAGAGCAATTTTAATTATATATTGTGTTTTATTCATAATATTTAGGCATATATAACTTGTTTAAATTAAGTTTATTAAAACATTATAGCATATATCATATTACAAATATTATCTATATTGTGCATATGTGTGTGTTGTGTACACAAAAATGTATATAACTGACAGGTGGAAAAGGATGAATCTGAAATACTCAATATTAATATTGCACATTTACAAATATTGCAAATACTTTATTAGGTACACCAGTACCGGGCGGGACCCCTTTTTGCCTTCAGAATTGACTTAATCCTTTGTGGCATAGATTTAACAAGGTACTGGAGATATTCCTCAGAGATTTTGGTCCATATTGACATGATAGCATCATGCAGTTGCAGCAGATTTGTAGGCTGCACATCCATGATGCGAATCTTCTGTTCCACCACATCCCAAAGGTGCTCTATTGGATTGAGTTCTGGTGACTGTGGAGGCCATTTGAGTACAGTGAACTCATTGTCATGTTCAAGAAACCAGTCTGAGATGATTTATGCTTTATAACATGGTGCGTTATTCTGCTGGAAGCAGCCATCAGAAGATGGGTTCACTGTGGTCATAAAGGGATGTACATGGTCGGCAACAATACTCAGGAGGGCTGAGGCGTTGACACGATACTCAATTAGTACTATTGGGTCCAAAGAGTGCCAAGAAAATATCCTCCACACCATTACACCACCACCACAAGCCTGAACCATAGATACAAGGCAGGATGGATTCATGCTTTCATGTTGTTGATGTCAAATTCTGACCCGACCATCCGAATGTTGCAGCAGAAATTGAGACTCATCAGACCAGGCAACGTTTTCACCAGGTTGGACGTGTTCAGAGATGCTCTTCTGCAGACCTCGGTTGTAACAGGTGCTTATTTGAGTTACTGTTGCCTTTCTATCAGCTGGAACCAGTCTGGCCATTCTCCTCGGACCTCCGGCATCAACAAGGCCCTTGCACCAACAGAACTGCTACTCACTGGATGTTTTCTCTTTTTCGGTCCATTCTCTGTAAACCTAGAGATGGTTGGGCGTGAAAATCCCAGTAGATCAGCAGTTTCTGAACTGCTCAGATCAGCCCGACTGACACTAACAACCATGCCACTTTCAAAGTCACTTAAATCACCTTTCGTCTCGATTCTGATGCTCGGTTTGAACTGCAGCAGATTGTCTTGACCATGTCTACATGCCAAGACAATATATATATATATATAATTTAGCCTATATAAGGTCTTTAAAATTATTAGATTACAATTTTTAAGCATTTATATCATTACAAACTGACATAAAAATTAATACATTTAATGTAAATATTACATACCATTGCATAAATGCCCATTTCTATTATATGTAAATGATTTATGCATTAAAAATGAACATGTGACAAAAAAATTAGCATTTAATATATGTTAGCAGAAGTCAAACAATCAAAGTCAATATCATCAAAAGTTTCAAACATTTTGAAAGTGGGTTAACACTGTCGCCTCACAGCAAGAAGGTCGCTGGTTTGAGCTGGTTTCTCAGTGGAGTTTGCATGTTCTCCCTGTGCTGGCGTGGGTTTCCTCCAAGTGCTCCGGTTTCCCCCACAGTCTAAAGACACGCGCTTTAGGTGAGTTGGGTGAACAATATAGGCCATATGAGTCTGTGTGTGAATGTTAGTGTTTATGGGTGTTTTCTAGTACATGCATGATTCTGGCTGGAAGGGCATCCACTGCATGCTGCAATAGTTAGCAGTTCATTTCGTTGTGTTGACCCCTGATAAAAAAGGGACTTAGCTGAAGAAGAATGATTGAAGGATTAAATATTATTGTATCTAAAATTATTCCTAAAATATAACAAAAATATCTGTAAATTGTTAAATTGATTTATAAAAAATTGACTCCCGTCTGCGACCTTACCTCCCTATGGTACGGTTTCAAAGGCGTTCTCAGTTTAACTCTGAGTGGCGCTCAGTCCTGTCGGCCTCCTCCCTTTTCTCTTTAGTCTAGTCTGTAAACATCTTATCTGCAAACACTCCAGAAGGACGTCTTTGTGCAACAATAATTAATCTATATATAGCACCCAGAGTCCTTCTTTTAAACCAGGCGATGCCAATCACAACATCAAGCTCCAGCTCGCCCCAGATTTCCACCGCCACTCGTCCAGACTTGTGTTTGCGCGTCCACTGGAGACCTGACCCGCTTGTGCTGATAACCCGCAAGAAGTAATTACAGCACGCAGACCGACGTTAAGGGCGTCTTAGTGATAAAACATGAAAGATGCACACAATGAAAGGACGTGTTTTGTGCTGCGCAGTCCACCAAGTGCAGTTAATAATGAACAATGTCAAAAGAAATGCTACTTTTATGTTGCAATAGTAGATGCTGCTTCCTAAGCATGCTGGGATTGAGGACAGCGCATTAACAACAACAGAGAACAGCAGGTGCCCGGGGCGCAGTTTGATGTTTCAAACCGCTACACAAATGCAATCAGAAGCTCCATAGCGACTGATTTCAGATCAGCTGAAGGGATGCTTGGGAATTCGGAGTGCTTTCCGCTTATGCATGGTGCGACTCTCATTTGTGAACTAAGTAGGGTGTCAATAACTTTAAAAGAACCTTTGATCTTGGGATTTGTGTGGGATGCAATTATGCTGCCGGAGGTGATGGAGGTCAAATTGGAGACCTTATTAAAGCGCACACATATAAACACTGTGTGCTGAAGGACTTTTTCTTTTTCTTAGGATGTTGATTCTCCAAGGGCATCGCAGACACTCATGCTGTGGCATTTTTCGATGTTTTTATAATGTTGGCATTAACTAGTTTTCTGTATCAGAGAGACAAACTAGATTAGCTAACAGGCCGGCAGGTTTAATCTAGTTATATTTGCAGTAGTCTGCCTTTGATCAGTGTTTTGAAGCGAGCTGCTGGTGAATAAGAATTGTTACGGATACACTGGTTAGCTTTGTTGCTCTTTACTGTAGCACGTACGATAATATAAAAGCAAACTATCTATCGATTGTTAGCTCTTATTTTATATTTACATGGGAAAACACAATGAGAGATATGGGAAAAAATGTGTCAGTGTTGGGTGTAGTAATTTAGTTACTGTAATTAAACTTTTCAGCTGATAAAGTAAGAGATTCAAATAAATACACTTAATCTTTCTGACACCTTAATCGAGACTTGCACCATGTAGCTTTGTACATTCGCACCAGACGCTTTCTTACAATCACTCAAACACACAAAAACTACTGCATTTATGTAATGAGCTTCACACAGGTGAGTGGGCTTGATAAACCACCTGTAGAAACTTCCCACCTCCTTACTCTATAGCAGCAGTTCCCAACAGGGCGGTCCCGGCCCACAAGGGGGCCTCAGCGAGCTTAGTGGGGGTCGGGTTGTATTTAAAAGATTTCTTAGCAGTTGACAATTAGTAGAATGATCATGTTGCCTTAGTTCATTTTATCCCCTAGCCAGGCCCGGATTGGCTAATCGGGAGGACCGGGAGAATTCCCAGTGGGCCGGTCCGTTTTTTGGCCACGAGGGCCGGTGTCCCTAGCTTCAGAATCTGTTGCTCTCCGCAGTCACACTTTTTAAATTAATTTATTTATTTGACCAGTCTTCTTATTCATTATTTTACCGTAGCTCTGCTTTGTTTATATATAAGTAGCCTGCAATTTTTGGTATTTAACTACAACTTCTGTGGTCCAGTGGTTAGCGTGTTAGATTACGACGCTGCCGATCGGGGTTTGATTCTCGTCTGAGTATGTTTTTTTTTTTTTTTCTCATTTTTATTGTTAAGACATATAATACTGTTAGAGTTGTTGAACATTTGAAGTTCTAAAGCAGCTGTTTTCTTTAAAAAGACGTGATATTGTAATTAGAAACTGAAATGGAAATGTCCTTATTTTAATATAGTCAGTCGTAAACTGAGGTGGGCCGGTCTGAGGCTTGAAACTCCAGGGCTGAAAAGCAGTCCCACTCCGGCCCTGCCCCTAGCTCAGTGGTCCTCAACCATCGGTCAGTGGATCAATTGGAAACAGGCTGCACAAGAAATCATTAATTATTTCAGTTTTATTATCATTTGAGTCTGAACGATCTTTTATTTTGAAAAATGACTATTCTCTTGCTTATATCTCGGTCACTTTCGCGCCCAAAATAAACCTAAAAGCAGCTAAATGAGTCAGAAACAGACGTCTTTGGAAAGTTCCTTTGCCAAGGGGAAAAGGCCAAGCGAAGGAACTGCCAAGGAATGGATCTGCAACCCATTTGTCAACAAATCAGGTGAATCCAGCATGTCTGTGCAAGAAAATCAACTGATGGAGATCACAAATGACGATGGGCTTTTAGGGGCCGTTCTCATATCCCGTATTTCTAGAGTTTGCACAAGTTTGTTGTTTCCAACAGAGGTGTGCGGTTTGCGCGCACAAATGGTGTGATGCGCTCGCACTGATGAACCCCGGCCAGCGAGCGCACCGCAAGTCACGTGACAAGAACTGACCAATCAGCTTCAGCTTGTATGGAATATTCACATTTGGGTAAGATTAGTTTTCCCAAACAAACACAGAACACACAAACACTGCAGTGCTTTGTACTTTTCCATAAATAAAACTTGTATCAGAGCGACAGCAATGTTTTACCAGCTTGTCATCCCATCCTCTGAGAAAACGATTAATGGTTGCCTAGCAACCTACGAAATACCAACACCCCCCAGCATATCGTGAACTTTACCTTATGTCGAGCATTTTTTAAAGTCGAGCAATTGAACTCATGGGACATCATGTGTGACGTAGGTTGGTAATTCTCTTATTCTGATCTGGACTTATTAAAGAACAAAATTTGATTTAATTTTAATACTTAATCTTGCTAGCAAGTGGTGAAGGATTGTG